AAACCTAATTATTGCCAGAACAAATCTCTCCCAATTTGGATTTAAACTAAGTGGATCATGATATGGTTTGGGTGTCAATTATGTTCTAGCAATAGTATACCATGCCATTTGAAAAATGTGAAAGAATTTAGCGGACGACATTGTACTATAGAATGATCATAGCGTTATTATTTCTTAAGAAAAACCTTGTTTTTGCTTCTATGTCTGAAGATGAGTAGCATTACTCAAGGCCTTTACAAGTTTAAAGTATATTGGTGACTCACCAATCTTCTGCTCTCCAAAAATAAACTCCTAAGTCAAATCAAATATATAGCATTGGTGCATTGTCGGAAACTTACTACTATTTCCTAGCACTTTGAATAACAACTCAAACATACCTGGACCTTTTTTTAATCCAAAGTTATTGTTAGCGCCAGGGAGGAAATCGCGAATGTTGCCAAAATCCAGCGGCTCTGAATTTAAAAATAATTTAGATAGGCAAAAAACTCATTCTTAGTAACCTGGATTTGAGCCGGAAGAAGAGATGCTATTACCACTGCCAAGTGAATCTCCTTGCCTTGAGCCACCTAAACTGTATGCTTAGAGTAATATATTATTTCTACAAACGAAATGAACCTCCAAGGAATGTGGAAGCCAGTCTAACAAAAGGATTCTGGTCGAGAGCACTATATGGCTTAGATATGACGGGACGAGGTAGTTCGACGGTGTCTCCAACGGACTGAAATGGAGGTGCAAAATTCATGATGAATCAAAAAAGATCTACAATTTCGGTTGTTAAAAATATAATGATAGTGATTTTTGATAAAATAGAATTACCTTGAGATCGCTGGATGGGAACACAACAGCTGTTTTTTCTGCATGTGTGGGTACACCACTTTGGACCACAGGAGAGTGACGCACATCGGGTGAGAACAGATCTGTAGACATTTTTTTGTGACCAAGAATATTTGGAGATTTTCAAGCTTCCAATCAATTATCAATATCAGTTATCTGAGATTTTTTGGTATCAAAGGGACAGCTGAGTTTCAGCGAGATTAGTTCCAAAGAATCTTTTGACTTTCTAAGTTTTGTTTCTGTCCAGTGCTAGATGCAGAATGTCAACCTAGTGTATAAAGATTTCTAATTAATGAAAAAATCTATCATTTCGTATTTCTGTGGTTAAAACTACCAATTCTCTTTGAAAGCCAAGTTAGAATAGGATATTTCACTTTCTTGCGCATTTTCTTTGAAAGTTTCTACTCTAATAAGCTGTTCATTCTGATTCTAATTGTTGTTCTCGTGAATATGAATTGGACTAGCCGTCTGTAAAAGTTCTAAAAGCCTTTGAATAACCGTGCTAAAAATTTTTAAAAAATATAAAATATAGTGTTCCCAAAAAAATGTGTGGAACGTTTGATGTTTAATAACTTCCTTATATTTCGAGAAGCTTTGGGAATCATTTTGTAGATCTGGCTTCAACTTAGATTTGCATTATAGAGGAACACTGATCACTCTTCATTACTGTAGGATTACGGTATGGACACTGAAGATGGTTTTGAGCCATGAAAGGCCATGTTTTGCCTCAGAAAGGAAGCAAAACAACCTGAAAAGTCTC